ACAGCCTGCTATTGGGGGGTCCTTTTTTTTTTTTTACTCTCTACAGGTCTCAGAAACAAACTCTAATCAAGATTTTTCATTCCTGTGTATCAACATTTCCTGATTTAAGGAGTGTTATGGAGGAATGGGAGAGCTGGGAAACTCAAGTCATCCATCTTACTGCATCATATCATAAAAATAATCTGTAGCTGATGCTTTCTTTCCAAACGCTGTGCGTTTGCAGAGCACGTGCATGAAGAGGAAGGTGAGTGGGATGGAAGGCCAGCCCTTGCCTTTCCCTGGAGAGGTTGCACGTGGGGCACGGTATGTCCTTTTGGCCTTTGGACCTGCTAGCAGGCAGCTCCTTCTCCTTAGCTTTGCAAACCTCTGGGTTTTAAAGTGTGGTGTGTTTTGCAGGTGGAGGTCCAGAATGAGACCACCTCAAAACAAAAATGAAAAAAAAAAAAAAAAAGACTGGAAGATGTTGCCCCTAGATGCCTGCTTGCATGTTGTTTGATCTAAGGAAGAGAGAGCCTCTGGGTGGGGAAACTATCATTTCCTACATATGTAAAATGTTTAAGCACTTTTTTTTTTTTTTTAAAGCCTGACATCTTAATTAAATATCTGATTTTGAAATTCATATTCAGGCAGCTTTCCTGTTTGCATCCAGCAGACTGCAGTTCCCATTCACAAAGCCCCTTGTTTTTTTCTAGCTTTCCTTGGATTTATTTGCAGGGCAGTGTTTTGTTTTCTCTGTAAGCCGTTTGGAATACATCTTCACTAGCACTGTAGCCGGAGGGTTTGTATGTCATTCAAAAATAAAAATAAAAAATCTCCACCTACTGAAAAGTGAACAGCATAGCCCTAGCAACCGGCTGATGTGTTCGAACCAGAGGAAGGGACATTAAGCAAGTAAGACCAAATAACATCTCCGTAACGGCCAGGGATGCAGTAGAAATGCCAGCTTGTGATAAGATTAATTGTAACTGATAGTGGACATAGCTGCATTTGTATTTTATTCTAATTTTTTTAATGGTGGATTGTAAATACAGCCTTGATGAAGTGGTGCTTGTTCTTGCCGGCATGAGCGGGGTATTCAGCTGGGAGCCCTGGAAAGGGGATCTGCTTCTGTAAAAACAGCCCCCCCACCCCATCTTGCACTGATTGTCTATGTATTGAAGCTATAAGGAAGGTAAGTCATCATTTTCTTGCAAAGCAAGGGAAAACTTACTTTAAATGGTCTGTCCGACAGGATACTGTCAGTACTTTCCTCCCAGGTGTGTTCTCAATGGCATTATGCCAGGGGTGGTTTTTGTGCGTCTGCCTCTCCATCTCTTGTGTGGACCTTGGTTTCTCGTTCATCTGCCGTGTCATTGCTCCATGTGTGTTAAAATGGTGATTTTTTTTTTCTTCTTTTCTGAATGAAAGGATTTTAAACTGCTTGACATCATCTGAAATATTAGCTATTCCTTATTTTCCTAAAGAGCTCCCTTGCGCTGCTTCAAGATGGATTTTCATTTGTGTTACCTGACTGCGTGGTTTTCCTTAGTGGTTGCCAACAAAAAAACCACAACTGAAGCCTTAAGTTTTCTCCTAGGTTTTATTTCTATGAGACTGAAGCCATAAAAAGCAAAACAAAGGAAGGAACATACTTATTGGGAAAGGTATGCTGTGTTAGTGGTCAGCCCAGGCTTCTCTCACAGTTTGTGAAGTCAGAGGCAGTCTCGGTGCCCTTCAGCGGGCGCAGGGATTATCCTCTGGTGTTTTCAGTGTTGTCCTTCTACTTGTAATCCACAAAGGCTGCTGATTTATGACTTCTGTCTAATAACTGTGTTTCTCTGACTCCCTGTGCACTTCCCCTTTCCACCCCCTTCCTCCTGTGGTTTTTTTGTCTTTTCTTGTTTCATGCAGTTTGATTCTTTGGTCTGCTGGTGTACCAGGTCTTTGATTTCTTCCCTGCCAATCCGTTCTCCACATGCTGGTGATGGCATGCAAAGAATAAAAGTGATTCTATACCCTTACTGGGGAAGGATGCCTCCAATAGTATTTTTCTATCACAGTGGTTTTACTTCCTGACTGCTAGATGCGATGCGCTGTGCTGTGCTGGGAAGGTGGGCAGAGCAGGATGTGCTGTTCCAGGCTAGTTTTCAATGACCGCTTTTAGGACCAAATAACCAGGGAACTGGGATTTTGTCGCGTCATCTCCAGCTGTTTGGTTTGGGGCTTTTTTGTTCTTTTTATTTCACCTCTCCAAGTTTCTCAGCTGTAGGTTTGGTCAGGCTGCTAACAGATGCTCCATGAGTCGTGGAAGGTTTTTTGGAGATCAATGTGTTTGCACGGTCTTGGTTAACTAAATTTTATCTTAAAATTTCTCACTGCTGCTCTCAGCAGCACAGCTCTCTTCGCAGTGGCAGTGGAGGAAACTGTGCAGACTGATGTCTCTCTTTCCTTGGAGGTAGGACCTGGTAACACTGGGGTAAATGCTGGAGGTCTCCTGGATGCTGTTGATACCACTATCTGCCACTGTTGCTCCCTTCAGTAGAGCTGTCTTAGGGTTTTTTGATAACCATGGACAAATTCCTTGTTTAGGAAAAGCAAGGAGTGCTTTTTTTGGAAACATGAGGAGTGATTGTGCCTGGGAGAAGTGCAGGGATGGTGATTTTTCTGTGCCTATGAGCCATGGCTTTATTGTACAAATGTAAATCTTCCTTGTCCCCAATTAATGTCTCTCTGAGACAGAAGGTGAGGATCAAGGTGTGCCCTGTGAACAAAAGTTATTAGGGAGCGCTCTGTTCCTTAGGACATTTTTTGCCTGCAGCTTGGCTTTGCCTAGGCGGCCTCCTCAGTACTGTATGTAATGCTTGATCATGAGCTGTGCTGAGCTCAACGATGGCCAAGGTGGGAAGGCACCTCTGGAGATCACCAGCCCAGCTCCTGCCCGAAGCAAGGTTGCCCAGGGCAGGCTGCACCGGGCGGTCAGTCTGTGAGTAGTTCCAAGGACGGAGACCTCAAATGTACAACTCTTTCAGTGCTTGTCACCCTCACAGTAAAAAAGCTTTTGATTTCTTTTTATGCTGAAGTGGAATTTCCTTTGTTTTAATGCATGCCCATTGCATCTTGTCATGTCACTGGGCACTACTAAGAGTCTTCTCCATCTTCTTTACTCACCCCATCAGGTGTTTATGCATACTGGGAAGATCATAGCACTCTTGATTCCCGAACATTAACTGGCTCTTGCGGGTTCGTGGATGCTTTGCATTGTTGGTCCTTTTCCACTGAGAGCTGTGAGGAATCAGCATTTTGCCTGGGGCAGCAGCAGGCCTGGGATTTCTCTGTGTGCTCTTTGCCTTCAGAGGGAAATCCAGCGCAGATGCCCGTGTTTACTAGACTTCAACAGGACCTGATTATCCAAGCCAGGATATCCCAAAGGGGAAAGGACAAGACTGTCTTCAGAATTGTCCAAGTGTATGTGTTTGCGAAAGCTGAGTTTTCTGCTTGTTTTTGTCAGGTGTAGAGGCACCGAACCAAATATCTTGAAGGATCTGCATATTATGGCAGGTACTGTAGTGTTTGAAGTTTACTATTTATATTGGGTTTAAATTCGGGGACTTCGTTCTTGAAGGTTGGAAGTCTTCGGTTACAGTGCTACTGCATTTTTTAAGATTCACAACACCTTAACTGACAGGTATTTTGACTGTTTAAATTTCTCTTGGCTTTTCTGACTCTGGAAACTAAATAATAAAGCAAGGCATTTGCCAGAAGTGCAGTAGTCTTTGTGCTGTCCTTCAAAAGTTACGTTTGAGTTTGGACCTATTTTATATAATAAAAGTTTTCATGTGGAAAATGAAATGTTTGTTGGCGTTTTAAGGATAGCATTTCAGCAAAGCTATCTGGCAGTCTCCAACAAGAGCCACTTCCCAGCTGGGTCAAACCAGTAAGGTGACTCGTAGGAGGGAAAAATTCAGTTTATAACATGAGTTTTGTTTTGTTTTTTAGTAGACTCTTTTCCAGGACTTATGCCAGAGAAACTGTGAACAACTTTCTTAATTGCTTATGTTGGGGCAAATGTCAGCAGTGGTGCAGCCTAATACAAAAACCAAACGGCAGGGTACGCAAAAGGTTAAAGCGAGTTTTCCTTCCTGGTGTTTGTTTAACTTTGTTCCCTAACTGTATTTATAGCAGAAGTAGTCTCGCGTGTCCTAGATTAAAGCCAGGGCAATCTGGGCTGTTTCAGTTGCTTCTGTGTGCATTGCGCTGGGGTGGAAGGATCGGGTACGCCTCTGACCTTTGCAGCTCCACTTCAGCAAAGTACCTCAGCATGTGCTTAACTTGTAGCCCATCAGAATTTTGGATCTGCTAGTTCACCTCCCTGGGTAGCACGCTGGGAAGGTTCACTCTTCCAGCCTCTGCTGGAAATACTCCTCTGGGGACCACTTCTGGGTATAAAAGTTTGAGGGTAAGCTCAGATTGCATCATTACGGCATGAATCTGTGCTAATCTCAGAGCAGCGTTGTCGGGGGCATAGTCTGCATACATGCAATATCCAGTGAGTCCTGGGCATTTGAAATACCTTGCCTGTAGGCAAGCGATTGCATGCCCAAGACTTCTGGATTGTCACACATCCAAAAATCTTGGGCAAATGGTCAGACTCTTTTTCTATATGAGCAAATTCTTGGGGAGAAAAAATACAGCAGAGAGACACATCGTTTATTGCCGAGTTGCAGCTTCCTTTTAGCGATAGCAGGCAGAGTAGGCCACAGTCTGACCAACAATAGGAACTGGATCATCAGGTTGATGCTCTGATTCTTTGATGCCAGTTCATGCCTGGTTGTGAAGGCACACCAAGCCTTGTGGTCAGCAAACGGCCCCAGTCTTCCTGATGGTCCAGCGACGGTGGTGTCTAAATTCAGAGAACAGGCAGTGAAATGAAATTCTCTTTTGCAGATTGAATTGCAGACTCAAGGCTCTGGATCCAACGCACACTATTGGTGTTTTATTGCTCCTTATGGTGTAGCTGGTGATCGTTCCTGAGAAGAGAGAAGATGATGAGTGATGCAAGTGACATGCTCGCTGCGGCTCTGGAGCAGATGGATGGCATTATAGCAGGTAAACACTTGGGGCAGCTTGTTCATTTGGCTGTTTCGGTCCTCATTTCTCATACCCGGAGAGCAGAGTTTCAGGCTAAGAAGGGAACGTGCTGGTAATTGTGTTTGGTGTCTTCCATTATAGCTTAGTGATTACAAATAAATGGAGTGGAGGGATTGCACAGACTCTCTCACACACAGACACAGCTAAATAGATTGTAGTTTTTCTCCTAGCCTCTATTAAAATGCTGGTCAAAGTGGCTGAGTGGTGGAGTTCAGCTCGTGGACACAGCACCGTGAAAGTCAAGGACAAGGCACGTCTTAAACCAGACTGAGTGTGTTTAAAGAGCTGCTGCCAGGCAGGAAGAGTAAGTTTTCCTAATGCTGTCTACTCTGAACTTCTCTGAACTCTACAGAGTTAAAACAGGAAGTGAATTTTCTTTTTTTCAAAATTGGAATGCTCTGGGTCCAAACATTTGGTTTGGACCTGCCTTGAAATTTGAGGGTTTTTGTAAGTACCTGTAAATTCTAACTGAACCAAGGAGAGGCATCACAAAGTATACAATCTCTGCTTTTAAGTTGAGTCTAGTGAGTTAGAAAATAATATAAGTACACAACATAGAGGACCAAAGCAGCAAGAAGTTAATAGTTTAATCCTATTCCAGCAGAGCTATGCAAACAGCTACCTAAACTGAAAAAATATTCTGCAAGGGTAGCAACAAAGTTACAAAAGTCTTTAATAGTTCCACTTAAAATAATTTCCCTTAGGGAAAAAAATCATCATACAGTGTGTGCTTTGTTTGAACAATGACTTTTCTCTGCAGTTTTCCTAAAAGTATTAAGAACACATAGCAGCAACACATGTAAAGTGGATTCAGTTGGATCATAATGATTTCTAAAAATACATATTAGCTGTGACTTTAGTAATTTCCATAAGTAGATACTGGTATTTGGATCCGATCATGTATCTGTATTTCCAAGAGCCTAAGTTGGTTATGGCAGGATGAAGTTTAGTATAAAAATAAAATATGATGTTGGGATGTTTAAGTCACCACAGACTTCATTTACCCATGTGTCTGAACAGACCTATAAAGTAATATGACAAAGAGATATCAACTCCTATGCTATTGTGGGGATTTTTCTCTCTTTATTTTTTTCAAAGGGAATTAGCAGAATACTTGCATTTTTGTGGCTTGCCGGATGAGAGGAATGAAAGTTTGTGGAAATACATATATGGCATTTCACTGTGGTTTCCAAAACTTGACAGTACAAACGATGTTCTGTCATGAGCACGTCTCATTGTGCTGAGGCATTACAGTATTAAGGTCACAAATCAGTGTGCTGAAATTATAGTTGGAATTAGCTAGGTTGACTTAAATCAACCTTAGTCCTGAATTCATAGTTGCCTTCCTTACTTAATATGTAGCAACTTTTAATGTAGGTCAAATATGCGTACTGTGAGTTTATGCAAATAAGAGATTTTTCTCTTTATTAACATGCAAATATCAGTGCTACAATGTCAAACTGTTGGGTTTAAAATTTATTCTCATGTAGAAGTTATTTGGTCTTTTTATTTTTCTTCATATTTTTCTTTATTCTTTTAAAAACTTTCCAGTGCCTTGGAGCAGCATAACATATTCCTACATGAAAAATGCAGAGCACGGTTTCCTCTGGACACCACCAGTGTCTGACTTGGGCCATGCCATCCCTACAGGGTGACGCAAAGCATTAGCAGAGCCTGTTCCCCACCCACAGGACTTTCCGCCTCCAAAACATCCCGGGGAGCAGGATCCCAGCCCGCGCCTTGAACCCGTGGGCACAGTTGTGGCGTACATGTCCTCTGTCGGATCGGCCCACCTCCTTCCTGCTGGAGCTGCTGTCTGCGTAGCACGCCAGCAAGGGCTTACCCTTCTCCAAATTGCTGCGTGTGTGGGCAGAATCCAGCACCAGCGCTGAGTTTTGGTTCAGATAAACACCTACCGGGAGCCAACACCGCCTAGCATCTCTCAGCCTTGCTGTGTGTCTGACCTGCTTGCCTCCTGCCTGACCCCGTGCGATTTTGCTCCTTCCAGGTTCAAAGGCGCTGGAGTACTCCAATGGCATCTTCGACTGCCAGTCCCCCACTTCCCCCTTCATGGGGGGCCTGCGGGCGCTGCACCTGGTGGAGGACTTGCGGGGCCTGCTGGAGATGATGGAAGCGGATGAGAGAGAGGGGCTGCGCTGCCAGGTCCCGGACTCGACAGCAGAGGCTCTGATCGAATGGCTCCAAAGTCAAATGGTAAGGTCTCGCCTTGTTTCACCCATAATGTGCTTGGTTTGTGTGTTAGCTAGACTGGCTCAGGCAGCGGGGCGGTGTTTTGTGCAGGGCTTTTCACTATTTTAAAGCACATTTCAAAGAACCAAAGGGAAGAGATTTTGCTTTGGGATTGCTGCTCAGAAAAAAGCTGTAGCTCAAATACCCTGTCCAGTCGGTTGGCCTGTGC